ATAATTTATATCACTAGGTGAATACAATTAATTTTAGAGGAGGTAATCTTCTTTATTATTAACTGTATATTGATATTATTATAAATATTTGATATTTTGAAGTATTTAATAATGTATTGGACAATATTAATATTATTTAATAACAATTGTCCACAAAAATGTTTTAGTTTTTATGAATTTCTTAAATTATTTGTTCTGAAATAGTTTTTTTTACTGCTTTGTTAATATAATGAGAGATTCTTAAGCGATATATGTTTGTGCTAAGTTTTAAAATATTAGTCTTGCCAAGTGATTTCTGATTGTTTCATCAAAAGATTAATTGTACTCTTTGACATTTTATATAACTAAAATACAAATCATCATCGTATATAATTGATATGTAATGGTTAGAGAGCAAATTATGGGTTGCTTATAGGATAAGTGTGTTTGTCGGGGTAGTAGAAATGAATCTTCTAGTTTTGTTCTGTGGGAGATAGTGGTATGCGATCTTGTGATGAAAGTTTGACTGAGTCCTGCAAACACTAGAAACAAGTAAGTCAGACCTCCAGGAGAAGCGATAGTGTTATGGTTTGGGTATCCCATCCGAGGATCATGATACACTTCTGCTATTTAGTGAGGGTGGACGTGAAGTGATTGGACCATTGAAAGAGTGGGGTTAGAGTTCTCTCTCAATGAGGGATAAAACATAAGTTTGAGTTAGTTAGTCGGGGTTCCGGTGTGGTTTTGATGTTTCGGCGGTTTCTCCTCTTCACTTTTAGCGCTTCTCCTTCTCTCTCTGTTTCTCTTCTCTGTTTGGTTCTCTTGACCATCTCCTGTCTCCTGGTTGTCTGGACTTCTTTGACCGTTCTCTCTTATTCTGTCTGTCTCTCCCCTCCCTTTATCTCTTGGCATTCTTTCCTATTTTATACACCTTTTCCTCTGATCTGTCTCATTGGTGCTGCCTTTAGAGGGAGTAGATGTGCTACTACAGCATGCCTTCGACTTGGGAAATCTGCCAACTGTTCGGATAGTTTTGGCTAGGGAACCGTTGGGCAGGCCTAGACAAGAGATTTATCATTACGGTCGGGTCCACTATTGACGTATCATCTCTTGGTAAGGTGCCGTGAAAGTAGGACCAACAGTAATATTTGATTAAGGAGAAATAAAATATTCTAAGTTTTTAAAAATTCTTTGTAATTTTTAAAAATTATTTAATATACCTTTTAATCTGCTATCTTCCAACATCGTAAACATTAGAGAAATAAAAAATTTTGATTAAATACAAAACGGTAGAAACAATTTTTGTGATTATTGCTAAATGCCAAAAACTGTATCCATGCAAAAATATAACGTTTGCAGAAAGTATAAAGAAAACTAACCTACACCTAAATATTATATCAATTTATGTATAATATTTTTATTTAATTTGTTTGTTATTATAAATATATTATAAGATTATTTATATATACTTTTTAGTATATAAAGTTGTTTTATTTTATAATTTTTATTAGTATTTAATATAATTTTCATATTTGTAAATATATATTACTGTAAATCCTAGAACAATAAAAAGTTTTATAATAAATTGGTTTCAACAAGTATAAAATGATACGAAACGGTTTCTATGATTGTTGTTAAACAATAAAAATTGTAACCGTGTATAAATATTATATTTGCGTAAGGTATCAAAAGAACTAATCAATATTTGAATATTATAACTAAATTAATTATATTAAAAATTAATAACTGCATATGAGTACAAACCAACTATCTAGTAATGTATATATATGGATTAGAGTGGATCTGAACTTTTAAAATTAGTATTTGTGATTTTTTTTGTTTTAAACGAATACCATATTTTAATAGTTGCTTTGCTTTAAATCGTTATGCATATCTAGATTTTTTGAATGGAATCATAGCAAATACCAAATCAAACCAATATAGTGGATAATTTTCCGTGTCTTATATATAACTAGGTGATTGCCCCGCACATTGTACGGGGATATTTCATTTTAATAAAAATTGACAATGTTAGTATGTTTGGGAGTGGACAAATACGGTTTTCATTTGGACATTCAAAAGATAGTACTTACGACTACGCAAGAAAATAGTCTTATCAATAAATCATCCACGGTATAAAAAGAAAAAAAAAATGTTAAGATTTAGACTCATCGTCACATATATTATTAGCACTAAACTTTAAAGTCTTAACAAATTGTTTGACAAAACATAGGCAATTTCTAAAAGATATTTAAAGAACCATATAATGTTATGATCAAAAGCTGCATTGAACCAAAATGATTGTTGAACCAAAGACATATTTAATGGAAAACAGTATAATCACACATCCTTTTATTCAATAAAAATAATCAGAATCACTGAATATTAAATTTATTTTATTGATTGAGCTCCATATAAACCGAAAGGGACAAAATCAATATTTCCCAGAAACAATAAGAAACTATATGAGATTTTTGGGGCTTCTTATTTTTTTTTCCCTTAGCTGTATAAACAGAGAATCTCTTATCATGTGAACTTTAAGAGCATCAGTATTGAAGAGCCCATGTGGAAAAAAAAATGATGTGTCAAGCTCATATACTGAGAACCATCTTTTCCTAAGAGCAACCCCAAAGGAGAGCTTTGGTTATCTACAGTAAAAAGTCTTAGTAATAAAAATGAATAAAAAATAGTGAAAGGATCTAAAATAAGACATCCAGTATCTAAAATAAAATATTTTTTTTGAGTTAAGACACACAATGTCTAAAATAAAATAATAAAATATTTTTAAGAACATCTTAAACAGTTCTCCATTAGGGTTGGTCTAAGAGCCCAAAAAATTGATTCTTAAGTTTTTTAATATAAAATATATTTAAGAGCCATGAAACTCTCTAATACTCATGCTCTAAGAAACTTTTAAAAAGCCATCTATCACATAGCAATGAAAACGGCTAACCTTGAGTAGATTAATCACTTTGTTTGCTAGAGTATAATATACTTACTCCAAAAGCTAAGCAACTGTAATTAAACTGTTTCCCTCAACGCAATCACCAAGACCCAACAAACTGATTCCGCGACGAATACTAACCAAACTGGAGAAATGGGTTTAGTGTCGGAATATTGTTCTGCAGCTTCTCAGGCCACCAATACCATCACCACCAAATCCTTGTGTCCCAATTAAAGCCCTCACTCAGTTATTCAGAGCTAATAATGATTTTTTCGCAGATCCGGAGCCTCTTTCCAGTGCTTTTTGCTTGTGCTCAGACACGAACAAATTAGTATCACATTCGGATATCAGATCTCCTTTTCATCTGTGTTATTCATACGCATGACGGTAGTCAACTTCATGCGGTTCTTCTCTGATGAGCCACACACATAATCAAATCCGTTCTTTTTCACCGAACATATATCGTTGAGTTCCTTCTAAAATATGTCCCTGATAACCTTTTGATAACCGTTGAAGAGTAGTTTCTTATATCTTGTTTAGGTATCTGATCTCTTTTAACACTGTCTAGAGCTACAGATCTTTTCCATCTTATGCACAAATCTTTTCCATCTTATGCAGACTCATCATCACAGCCTCCTTTTCCTGTGTTATGCAAGTTATCAATTCCATTACTTTGGAACCTGTGTCAGCTTGCTGTTTCTGAAACACAGGAAAAGAGAAATAAGTCAAAAGTTTTTTCATCATCTATTTCTCATGACCAAACCCGTTCATCTCTTTAATAGCACCCATCATAGATTTTTATAGTCTCTTTAATAACTTTTTTCTATTCATATCTTCAATAGCATCCATCATAGAACTCTTTTCCGTTGATCTCTTCAGTAGCGTTCATCATCCAACAAATAATATATATAAGACAAAAGATTAGGGATCCCATTAACAAAATCAGGTCTAATCGTAAAGGTTGTTGTTTATTTTAGGGTTTAGCCGTAAGTTACTTTTTATTTGACTAGCCGTAAACCAAAAAAATTGATATAATAATTAATAATTAAATATTTAATAAAAGGGAAGGAGAGAATTTTATTCACCAAAGAACACTTTGTAAATAATAATATAGATAGAATAGTATAAATAAGTAAATAATTAATATTAGATAAGTAAATAATTAATAGATTTCATTAAAGATAATTAAAGTAAATTCACATAAGGGGTAAAGGATAATCAACCATGATAACTCTCAACCACAGCCCAACTTGCTTGCCAATTAATAATATGATTATTATAAAATATTTTCAGAGCATCTCCATCGTTAAGAGATTTAAATCGAGTATCTAATTAATAAAATATTAATATTTTAATTTCATTTATTTATATAATTAAATTTTAGGTTTATAAAGAAATTAAACCAATAATTAAGAGAGATGTGTCTAAAAGTGAGGAACAATTGTTAATTTTTTTTACATGAGAAATGTTACTCAAATCTATCTCTTATGTTTTTATTTGTTTTTATATTTTAATATTGAAAGACTGTTTAAAAGACTTTCGATGGAGATACTGTCACAATTTTAGCTATTATATGAAGAGTTTTTTAGGTGAAAAAATCAGATGCGTCAAAATGAGAGTAAAATAGTGCTTTCTATTGTTGACCTAGTAATGAGACATGACAAATTTTATTAAAATAAATAAAATATTTTGATTAGTTGAATTAAAATAAAATAAATTATAAAATTAAAATAGAAATATGATAGTTTATAACAATAAAATTAATAAATTTAAAATTAACAGAAACTGATAATTAATATGATTTCAATTTGTATATATATATTTATAAAAGATTGCATTAAATATGATTAGAAAAATTTTACAACTAATTATATCTATAAAGAAAGTTATATCCACATCAACCACCTAATTCCAATTAAGACGCCATGCGCAAAAAATTCAACCAAGCCAACAAGAAAGAAAAATTGAAACCACATAGTTCCTATCTTTCTATCCCATTTTTTGGCGTTATTTGCAGAAATTTATTTTCTTTGTTTTTTTGTTGGGACGTTTTTCTGAACAACATCTTCAATTCCGATGAGTACATGCCTGAGTTTGCCAAAAACAAATTAAAAATAAATAAATAAATTGTGTTATGGCTTTTCCCAATCCATCGCCAATGTCTCAAGTGTTCATCAACTTCGGAGGGGATGACTTAAGATGCCAATTTCTTCCCCATCTCATGAGCGAGTTCAAAACGAAACAGATCTGTATAGACGTAGAGAAGAGAAGTGATGATTTTGCAGAAACTGTCCAGTCAATCAAAGAGTCGAAGATTGCGCTCGTGATAATCTCAAGCATGTACACTAATTCGTCATGGTGCTTGAACGAGTTAGTGGAGATCACACGACGGGTAGAGGAAGGCAAACTCGTGGCGATTCCCATCCTCTACAAGGTGGATGCATCCGTGGTGAAAAGGCTTGAGGGAGATTTCGGTCTTAATTTGTGGAATCACGTGAAGCGTACTTCTGAATTCGATAATCTTAAGAAATGGAAAGAAGCTTTGGATTTTATATTACACAAGTTAACTTTGGTGTTACGTGAAAACAGGTACATATATATAATATAGTACCTACCATACACATAACAAATATTTGTGACATAAAGCACAAACGAAGAATCATGAATTTGTTTTTTATTTATTATTTGGTCAATTGAATATGAAACTTCCTAACGCAGAATTATTTGACAATAAATTAGCAAAACTTACACTGTCATCACCTTATTTTATATTGTTGGCTTAGATTGTCCCATTAATTAATCAGGCCTTACAAGATCAAAGGTTCTCATTTTTTTTTTTCTTACATTTTTTTCTGGCAGTGACGAGCCCCAGTTTATCACTCGCATCGTCAAGGAAGTCAAGAGACAACTGATCCGAATTTCAACTGATCAATTCAAAAAGATACCTGACCAGCAGGAAAAATATGCGTTGACGGACGCTTGTTTCTCGAGGTCGAAGGAGCCTAAAACCGTAGACAATGAAACTGACGTAAATCCAGCGAAAACAGAATTTAATGGAAAATCAAGGAAGGATGAAAATCTACCTGATGAAGGAAACGATGACGCAACCCCTAACTTGCAGAATATCGTTGAACGCAGAAGTGTTGATTCAGCCAAGGAAGAAAAGAAGTATGTACAGGTTGGGGAAGGCTCTACCATGGGGAACTACGACAAACATGTACCACAACATCAGGTGTTCATCAATTTCCAAGGGGAAGATGTCCGTTTCGGCTTCGTGAGCCCATTGGTTTCTGCCTTGTTAGATAAAGGGATCAAGGCTTTTATAGACAAAGATGAAAGGAGAGGTGAAGAAGAAGATATCGGCAAACTTTTCAAGAAGATCAAGGATTCCAAAATTGCGCTCGTGGTGTTCTCGAGCAGCTACTCGGAATCAACATGGTGCTTAGACGAGCTGGTGAAGATCAAAGAATGCATGGACGAAGGCAAGCTTAAAGTCATTCCAATCTTCCACAAAGTGGAGCCATCAGAGGTGCAACAGCTAAATGGAGATTTTGGTTGTAAGCTTTGGAATTTGTGGAGGCTTCACCACGACCACCGTATCATTAAATGGATGGAGGCTTTGGAGTCTGTTGCGTCCATAAAGGGCATCAATTCGCAGGAGCACATGTACTTGAATATTTTAATTTATTGTGGAATTAAACTGAGTTTTGCTGAAATTACATGATTGATCTTATCCATTTTTTTTCCTTTTCTTTTCTCAATGGTTTGGCAGTTCTGAGAGCGAGTTAATCACTGTCACCGTAAAGGAAGCCCTAGAGACAATATCGATCTGGGAAGGAGAAATCACTGAATTGCCCACAGAAAAAGAAGAAAAGCATGAAACTTATCTTGACCAGCACCACCTCTTTGGAATGGAGCAACGCATGGAGCACTTGGAGAAGAAGTTAGAGTTCGATTGCAACGAAACTCGAATTATAGGAGTTGTTGGTATGCCTGGTATTGGTAAAACCACTCTCGCAATGATGTTGTACGAAAAGTGGAACTGCAAGTTTATACGTTGCTTGCCTCTTCTGGGCATCCGTAAGAAGTCGGAGGACCATGGGACGGTGTGGCTGAGAAAGACACTCCTGGAAGTATTACTCGAGGGAAAGTTTCCAGTGATAAGTGACAAGACAACACAAGAATCCGTGAAGGATAAACTGCTTCAGGCTAAAGTTTTTGTTGTTCTCGACGATGTGACTGACAAGAAACAGTTGGAGTTTCTCCTGGGTGACCTTGGCTGGATCAAGAAGGGAAGCAAGATTGTCATTACAACATGTGACAAGTCATTGATTGAGGGATTGGCTCATGATGCTTATGTGGTGCCGGTGTTGAATGATAGAGAGGCCTTTCAGCTCTTTAATTATCAAGCCTTTGATGATCAAATCTGTAGTCCCACCGATACCTTCTTGACGCTCTCTAGAAGGTTTTTGGATTATGCTCGAGGACTCCCACTGGCTCTCATTTTACTTGGTAAGGAACTTCGTGGGAAAGACAAGGCTCACTGGGAACATAAATTGGTAACACTGACAAGTTCCAGTATGATGTTTCAAGATGTCTGGCGATTTTCTATTGATCAACTTAATGAGCGGCAGAAAGATGTGTTTCTAGACATAACGTGCTTCTTCAACTCAGAGGATGAGTATTTTGTAAGGAGTTTACTAGATTCAGGAGATCCTGACAACATTAATACTGTGAGTGAAGTAAGAGATCTCGCCAACAAGTTCCTGATTACAATCTCTGACAGCCGAGTACAGATGAATGATCTGTTGTATACGTTCGGCAAGGACCTTGGTTCTCCTCGGTGGCTTAGGCTTTGGAACTACGAAGATTTCATGACCGAGCTAAAGACATTGAAAAAATCAGTAAGTTTATTTTTTTTTTCCATGAAAGATAAAAGTCAGTCATATTTCTATTCTAACTCACCATGGATTTTGAAAAGCAATTTTCCAGATATTTTTTTATAGGAAACAGTGGCTACCGGTGGATATTTTTTCTGTCAAAATATTTATAAACATAAAATCTTTTGAAAATATACATATAATATAAATACAATGTTTATAACAAAAGTGACTGTAAAAAATAATATTAATGATGTATATTAACAAAATTCAAATATATATATATATTTATATATACTTGAATGCCAAAAACAAAATCTCAAATAATTAATAAGAATTTAAATAATAGGTTAAAACTTAAAAAACAACATTGATCAAATTTAAATCTTCATAGAACGAAATGGTATCAAAGTAATCCTCAAATGGAATTAAAAAAAAACTCAAAATGGAACAAAAAATTAAATAATATATCGTATATATATATATATATATATATTCATATAAGAACTTTTAGGAGAAGATAAATTTATCATCACATAGTTGCTATTATAGAGTTAACTAGGCTAATTCCCGCATATATGCACGGGTTTTCTTTTAATTTTATTTATAACCTGCACGTTTCATCAAAGTACTACGGTAATCTAACAACTGTATAATGGTAAGAGAATCCAATTTAGAAAAAACATATGATTGTTCATACTATGGAATACATATGACCATATTGCTATAGCTTTGATAAGTTATACAACAAATATGCCCAAAATATTGTCATAGTTCTATTTATCTGAAGGTGCGTTCTACTATGTTCAAATTGTGGAATTACCTCCACCGAGAAAAGGAAAAACTAGAATAAAATCATATTTGAAAGAACTTTTATCATGGAACTTTTATTCTGTATTTCACTTTCAAGCTCGACCTTGATTTTCAGATCATGCGTAGGTTCCATCACAACTTCAGGTCTTGAAGCTGTGAAATAGAATTAAGATAGAATTAAGGGAAAAAATAGAAGCGCTTAGACAAAGATGACCAACTTTTGTGAAATTTGAAACTACTGGAAAAGGGTAGTCTGGATATATAAGTCAAATTCCATGTACTTGAACCTACGATGTAAACTGGAAGGCATATTTGCTTTTATCTCTAGTATAAAATCACAAAACACAATAACAGTTGCTTGTATGGTAGTATGCTGGGTTTTTTTTTATTGACAAAAAAAGAAAGATTTTATATCTTGTTATTTTAGAGTAACACAATTGTGTTGAATCATAATCAAATCTCTATGAACCAAAGTCACATTTACATAAGTTAGTTACACAACAAAGAATCACCATTTCTTAAGAGTCACAACTTGTTACTTTTATAAATTGTGTTTTTTTCTATTAAGAGTCATATCTTTTCAACACAATGTTTTGTTTAATATAAATATAGGTCGAGTCTCACATTTGTAACAACAACAAGTTTTCTCATAATCAATAATAAACAGAAGTTTTCTCTTATACTCTGTTTTTCGTTCTACAAAACAGAGCAACAAGTAAACACTTGCTTTGCTCTTTGAAAAAGAAGTTTTGGCTTCTAACATGGTAGCAGAGCTTTACGATTGAGAGGACAAGAGAGAAAGCACTAACGATCGAGAGAGGCAACAAAGAGAGATCGTATTCATCTCCACAATAAACAAGGCTCCTCACATCAAGTGATCCTTATATTCAATGTGGAGAAGTACGACTTCTGGAGTATTAAAATGGAAACCATATTCCGAACCAGAAAACTATGGCCGGTGGTTGACGAAGGCGTGCCGGCTGAACCGGTGCAAGAAGAAGTAACCCCTGAAACTGCAAGAGCAAGGACGGTCAGAGAAGAAGCAGCGGCGAATGATACGGTGGCTTTGCAAATTGCCGTAACCGATGAAATCTTCTCACGCATTGCACCGGCAGCAACATCAAAAGAGGCGTGGGATGCATTGAAAGATGAGTATGAAGGCTCTCCACAAGTCCGATTGGTCAAACTCCAATCATTGCGTAGAGAGTACAAAAATCTTAAAATGTATGATGGTGATGACATCAAGACATTCACAGATAAGTTAATTGTTTTGGAGAATCAATTAACTTATCATGGAGAGAAGAAAACAAACTCTCAACTCGTACAGAAAATACTCATCTCTCTCCCAGCCAAGTATTGTTAGTGTCCTAGAGCAAACTAGCGATTTGAATTCACTAAAAATGTGAGAACTTATTGGCATATTGAAGGCACAAGAAGCGAGAGTTGCTGCAAAAGATGAAAGCACTAGTGAGGGAGCATTCTATGTTTGTTCGAAAGGAAGAGAATCCGGTTTCAAATCAGACAACACCAAAAGCCGTGTCAATCAAGGCAAGCGGTGGAGTGGATTTTGCAAGAAGAGCAATCACACTAAAGAGAAGTGGTGGAAGAAACCGAAGAAAAGCGATCAAGGCAACAGCCAAAGAAGTAACAAGGTATTTTACAAGTGTGGTATGATCAGCCACTACTCAAATGTGTGTCGCTCAAAGAAAAGAGAGGGAGCACATGTAAGTCTCGAAGAAGAAGACTTAGAAGATGATCATATGTTGTTTAGTGCAAGTGAGTAATCATCAACAACGTTAAGAGAAGACATTTGGTTGGTTGACAGTGGCTGCACAAACCATATGACGAAAGAAGAGAGATACTTCTCAAACATCAATAGAAGTATCAAAGTGCCGATTAGAATAGGAAATAGAGATATAGTCATGACAGCTGAAAAAGGAGATATTACCGTCATGGCAAGAGAATCATCAAGAACATTTTCTTAGTGCCTGGCTTGGAGAAGAACCTATTGAGTGTTCCTCAAATAATCTCAAGCGGCTATCAAGTACGTTTTGAAGACAAGAGATGCATCATCCAAGATGCAAAGGGCAAGGAGATCATGGACATTGAAATGACGAACAAAAGCTTCAAGACCAAGTTAAGTTCAGTCGAGGAAGAAGCCATTACAGCAAATGCTCAAATAGAAGAAACATGGCACAAAAGACTTGGCCATGTAAGCAAGCGACGCTTACAACAAATGCAAGACAAAGACTTGGTAAAGGGGTTACCAAGTTTTAAAGTCAACAAGGAAGTGTGTAAGGCGTGTAATCTTGGGAAGCAATCACGCAAGAGCTTTCCAAAAGAATCTCAAACTAAGACAACAGAAAAGCTTGAGATTGTGCATACAGATGTATGTGGACCGATGCAGCATCAATCGCTTGATAGAAGCCGTTACTTTGTGTTGTTTTTGGATGATTATACTCACATGTGTTGGGTATACTTCCTAAAGCAAAAATATGAGACCTTCTCTGTGTTCAAAAAGGTCAAGGCGATGATCGAGAAACAATCAGAGTGTTCCATCAAGACGTTAAGATCCGATAGAGCTGGTGAGTTCACATCACAAGAATTCAATCGTTTTTGTGAAGAAGAAGAAATTAATAGGCAAGTTACTTTGCGTTATTCACCACAACAAAATGATGTAGCAGAACGGAAGAATAGATCCTTGGTGGAGATGGTGAGAACGATGCTTGTTGAGCAAGGCTTACCGCTCAAGTTATGGGTAAAAGCGGTATACACCTCAGCTTACCTACAAAATCGTTTACCATCAAAAGCGATTGAAGATGAGGTGACTCCAATAGAGAAATGGTGTGGACACAAGCCAAACGTATCACACCTGAAGATATTCGGGAGTATATGTTACGTGCATATTCCAGATCAAAGAAGGAGAAAGTCGGACGCTAAGGCTAAGCATGGAATATTTATTGGCTATAGCAATCATACCAAAGTCTATAGAGTTCTCATCTTGGAGAATGAGAATATTGAAGTATCAAGAGATGTGGAGTTTGAAGAAAATAAGAAGTGGAATTGGGATAGGCAAGAAGAAGTGAAGAAGACGTTTGTTTTATCCTTCAATGACGAACAAACACCAAGAAATCGGATCGAAAGGATCTCTAGCCCTGTTTTTCCCTCAAGATGGTGACAATAACAATGAAGAAGGAGAAACTTTTGAGTCACCAAAGAAATACAAGGCTATAAGTGAAATCATGCAAATAGCACCAAGAGTGGAGGTTGAAGAAGCGGCTCAAATAATAGAAGCTTGCCTTCTTGCGCAAAAAGAACCACAAACTTACGATGAAGCTTGTGGTAGTGATGAATGGAGAAAGGCCATGAGTGAAGAAATAGAAATGATTGAGAAGAACAAGACGTGGAAACTAGTAGACAAGCCGGAGAAGAAGAATGTGATAAGTGTGAAATGGATCTACAAGATCAAAATGGATGCAAGCGGAAATCACATCAAACACAAGGCAAGGCTAGCAGCAAGAGGTTTTTCTCAAGCATATGGAGTCGATTATCTTGAGACATTCGCCCCTGTCTCAATGCATGATACAATACGAGCATTACTTGAATATGCAGCTCAAATGGAGTGGAGATTGTATCAAATGGATGTAAAGTCGGCATTTCTAAATGGAGAACTCGAAGAAGAAGTATATATAACACAATCGCCTGGGTTTGTGGTCGAAGGACAAGAAGAGAAGGTGTTAAGGCTATACAAAGTCTTATATGGCCTTAAATAAGCCCCACGAGCATGGTATGGAATAATAGATTCTTATTTCATTCAAAATGGTTTTAAAAGAAGTATGAATGATGCGGCTTTATACATCAAGAAGCAAGGAGGAAATGTGTTGATCGTTAGTTTATACGCCGATGATATCATCATCACTGGAAACAACAATCATCTCATCAACACATTCAAGGAGAACATGAAGAACGAGTTAGAGATGAGGGATCTTGGGTTACTTAATTACTTTCTTGGAATGGAAGTAAACCAAGATGATTGTGGTATCTTTCTCTCACAAGAGAAATATGCAAACAAACATATTGACAAAGTTTGGGATGAAAGGAAGCAAGAGTGTAAGTACCCCTCTTACCCCACAAGGAAAAAGAGAAGAAAATGGCGAAGAGTATAGAGATCCAACGAAGTATAGAAGCATCGTAGGGGGGCTCTTGTATTTGTGTGCATCAAGACCTGATGTGATGTACGCAAACTCTTATCTGTCAAGATACATGTCATCACCGCACATGAAGCACTACCAAGAAGCCAAAGGGTTGTTAAGATACGTTAAGGGAACGTCAAGCTTTGGAGTGTTTTTCACAAGTGCAAAGGTACCAAGATTGATAGGCTACTCAGACAGCGATTGGGGAGGTTCTATCAAAGACAAGAAAAGCACCACAGTTTATGTTTTCAGTCTTGGATCGGCTATGTTTTGTTGGCAATCATGTAAGCAGCAAACGGTGGCTCTATCAATGGCGGAAGCAGAGTATATAGCCATTTGTGCAGCAACATACCAAGCCATTTGGTTACAGAGACTCTTAGAGGATTTTGGTTTAAATTTTGAAGAAGGCATTCCCATCTTATGTGACAACAAGTCGGCAATAGCAATTGGGAGGAATCCAGTGCAACATAGAAGGACAAAGCACATGGAGATCAAGTATCATTTTGTGAGAGAAGCCAAGCACAAAGGACTCATTTAACTTGAGTATTGCAAGGGAGAAGATCAACTCGCGGACATACTTACAAAGGCTTTAAGCGTTTCAAGGTTTGAAGATTTAAGAAAAAAGCTTGGAGTGAAGCCGAGATATGATTAGGAGGGAGAGTTGAACCATAATCAAATCACTATGAACCAAAATCACATTTACATAAGTTAGTTACACAACGAAGAGTCAGCATCTCTTAAGAGTCACAACTTGTTACTTCTATAAGTTGTGTCTTTTCTATTAAGAATCATGTCTTTTTAACACAATGTTTCATTTAGTATAAATATAGGTTGAGTCTCACATTTGTAACAATAACAAATTTTCTCATAATCAATAATAAATACAGGTTTTTTCTTATACTCTGTTTTTCATTATACAAAACAGAGCAACAAGTAAACACTTGATTTGGTCTTTGAGAAAGAAGCTTTGGCTTCTAACAAATTGTAGAGGGCAAAACTAAATCAAAGTTTGTCTAAACTGTCAGTAGAAGTTATTTAAAATTGGTATGGTATAGCATGGCATTTGGAAAAAGAAAAAGAAAAACCTACAAAGAAAATGACCAATCAATAGAGGTCGTACCTCAAAAATATATATACTTCTTGCGCACCACATATCCTGGGAAAATTTGTCATATCCTGGAAAAAATTGTGAAAACCTAGGTAGAAAAATTACCAAAACGCATTTGAATTACAATTAATAATAACCTTGGGTTTCAAATATAGGGAAATATACTCATAGGAATAACTCCGTCAGGCAATCTATAAAACCCTTAACAGATCATAGGAGTCGATTTCAGAGTATACCACGCAGCCTTAATTTTGTACTCAACATCGTGAGAATCAAATTGTAGAGTAGATCTTGTTAAATCAAAATCTCAGACGACGGTGGCTAACTTTGAACAGAACCCACAGAGAGACAACAAATCATCCTTAGAAGAATTTAAATTGCTTGTACCACACGTAATCGATTTTGGAAAATAAAAATCGAAACATATAATGTACCAAACGTTGGAGATGAGATGCAAAGAAGTAAGAATGACTGAAGTTTCGTGAGATGATTGAGCCATATATGAAGAATTGAACGAAGTAAAGGGTCATTAAAAAGGATGAACGTAAAGGCAAGAAGTTGCTCTGCCTAAAACTTGGAACTGTGAGATTAATCAACATCTGAAATTTTTTAAAATGGATCGTGAACTCTTTTACACACTATTATGAAAACAGGAAATAACAACAATAAATGGTAATATGGAATATAAAAAAACATTTATAGACAACTTTTTTTCTGTTAAAATATACATTTTTCAGTTACATTGAAAACTTCGTGTATGCTTTACTAACATGTTTCTCTTTTGACTTGCGATTAGGATGCCAATAATGTAAGGGGTATATTCTTAGACATGTCAAAGTTAACGACGAGGGCCTACATGGACAGATTAGCCTTCACTGATATGGGCAATCTTCTATACCTCAAGATATACGATTCTTGTTGTCCTCAGCACTGTAAAGCTGACTCGAACTTATATTTTCCGGATGGGCTTTGTTTTCGTTTGGAAAAGGTTAAATATCTCGATTGGCTGAAATTTCCTTTGCAGGAACTTCCATCAGACTTCAGACCTGAGAATCTTGTTGACTTGAGGCTGCCTTACAGTAAAATTGAACGTGTTTGGAAAGGTGTTAAGGTTTGTCTTCTTGTGCCATTTTCTCGCAGTTATGTTTTCATTAAATGGCTATTGTAACTACTGCAGTTTTTTATATTGTCATTTAAATTATGACGGGTTGTCACAGGATACACCACAGTTGAAATGGGTAGATTTACGCCACTCCAGTAAGTTGCTTGACTTGTCAGCATTGGCAAATGCTGAAAATCTGCAGAGATTAAATCTTGAAGGCTGCACAAATTTGGATAAGTTGCCAGAGGACATGCAGAATATGAAGTCTCTCGTCTACCTAAACATGAAAGGATGCATATGTCTTGGATCTCTTCCAGAGATAAATTTAATTTCTCTGAAAACTCTCATCCTTAGCGGCTGCTTAAACCTAGAGGTATTTTCGGTTATCTCTGAAAATTTAGAAATTCTACATCTAGATGGAACAGCAATCAAGGAGCTTCCTCCAGCCATCAAGAAGCTCCAAAAGCTTATCTTGTTAAATTTGAAGAACTGCAAAATGCTGAAGTGTCTCCCTAAATGTCTTGGTGAACTGAAAGCTCTTGAAGAGCTGATACTTTCTGATTGTTTGGGGATTGAGAATGTAAAGGAGATCATGAAACATCTCCAGAGTTTACTTCTTGACAGAATTGGTGCAAAAGAGATGCCAACGATATTGGGCGTCACTAAATCCAAAGAGCAAGCTTCTGCAGATTTGTTGGTAGAATCTATTGGCCTGAGAAAATGGCCAGTTGATGTTAGTGGAATATCCAAACTGCAACGTCTAAGTTTGAGCGGAAATGATTTTGTCTACCTTAAAAAAGACATTGGGCAACTTTATAATCTAAAATGGCTTGATGTGAAGCAGTGCAAGAAACTGAGGTCTATTCCAATGCTTCCACCAAGACTTCAGTACTTTGATGCTTGTGGTTGTGATTCACTGGAAACAGTTGCAAATCCTCTGGCCTTTCCAATGTTGTCTGAGCAGATTCAGGCCACATTCAACTTTACCAACTGCATCAAGTTGGATGAATACGCAAAGGATAGTATCATGTCATACACACGCTGGAGAAGCCAATTAGCACTAGATGAATTCACTCTTTACAATGAGGTATGTCTATCTCTCTTTCTATCGATTTCCAGTCTTCTAGAAGCGTACAATATTTGTAATCTTGTATTGTTACTCCTTTTTGCAGAGTTCTATTTTGGAAGCTTTTACTGGAACTTGCTTTCCTGGATCAGAAGTACCGGCATGGTTCAGTCACCAAGCATCTGGATCAGTGTTGGAGCCAAAGCTGCCTCCACACTGGAGTGACAATAGGTTAACTGGAATAGCTATGTGTGCTGTTATCTCGTTTAATGGCTTCTATGAGCAGAAGAGTCGATTTGTAGTTACATGTAATTGTGTGTTCAATGGTAAAGATGGATCGTGTATCCGATTTAGTTGCACTGTTGGCAGTTGGAGCAAACCAAGAGACACACCAGGGATGATTGAACCGTCTCATGTCTTTATTGGTTACACCAGCATATTGGATATCAAGAAATATGGCGAGGATAAAGATGAAGAGGGATGTAGTCATACCAAGGCTTCATTTGAATTTCAAGTGACAGATGGTACGGATGTGTTAGAAGGTTGTGAGGTGTTGAAGTGTGGCTTTAGTTTGGTCTATGCAACCGATGAAAGGGAGAATATAGGTTGGGATGGAAAGACTGATTCTAGTGGGCGTGTAGATATGCATGATCAATTGTATACATTGGGAAAGGACCGTTCTTATCATAGGTGTTATTGGCTATCTAACTACAAAGATTTCGACAAGCTAACAAAAATGAAACAGCAGGTACTTAAGTTTTTTTTATTCAAAAAAGCGTTAAATATTAACATTTCCTGGCTGCTATAAAACAAAAATTCAAGATCATTTTTTTTTTTTAACTTGTCAGGATGCTAATAATGTGGAAGGTATTTTCTTGGACATGAATGAATTAACAGAGAGTGTTGCCTTGGAATGTATGACCTTCACTGGTATGGGCAATCTTGTATACCTCAAGATATACAATTCTTGTTGTCCTCGGCACTGTAAAGCTGACTCAAACTTATACTTTCCGGATGGGCTTGACTTCCGTTTGGAAAAGGTTAAATATCTCGATTGGCTGAAATTTCCTTTGCAGGAACTTCCATCAGACTTCAGACCTGAGAATCTTGTTGACTTGAGGCTGCCTTACAGCAAAATTGAACGTCTTTGGGAAGCTATTCAGGTTTGTCTTCTTGTGCTATCTTTTTGTAGTCCTTAGATGGCTAAAATAACTATTACATTTGTTCTAATCGGTGGTTTAAATTCTGACGGCTTGTCACAGGATACACCGAATTTGAAATGGGTAGATCTACGCCACTCGACTAAGTTGCTCGACTTGTCAGCATTGTCAAGAGCTGAAAATCTTCAAAGATTAAATCTTGAAGGCTGCACGAGTTTGGATGAGTTGCCGGTGGTGATGCAAACTATGAAGTCTCTGGTTTATCTGAACCTGAGAGGATGCATACGTCTTTGGTATCTTCCGAAGATGAATTTAATATCTCTGAAAACCCTCATTCTCAGTGACTGCTTAAACCTAAAGGAGTTTCAGTTAATTTCTGAAAGTGTAGAAGTTCTACATTTGGATGGCACAACAATCAAAGGACTTCCTCCGGCTATACAGCACCTCCAGAGACTTGTTGTATTGAATTTGAAAAACTGCAAAATGCTGGAGTGTCTTCCTAAATGTCTAGGCACTCTGAAGTTTCTTGACGAGCTAACACTTTCTGGCTGTTCCAGGCTTAGGAATCTTCAAGATGTCAGAAATAGCTTAAAGCATCTCCAGATTTTAAATTTTGATGGGACAGGAGCAAACAAGATGCCAAGCATATCGTGCTTCATTGGATCTGAAGACCCAGCTTCTACAGATACTTTACCTTTCGGGTTATATTCCACCCTGAGAGAATGGCCTGGTGTTAATGGAGTATCCTCGCTACGACATTTATGTTTGAGTGGAAATAATTTTCTTAGCTTGGAACCTGACATTTGGAAGCTTTGCAATCTAAAATGGCTGGATGTGAAGCAGTGCAAGAAGCTGAGATTTGTTCCAATGCTTCCACCAAGACTTCAGTACTTTGATGCTCGTGGCTGTGATTCACTAGAAAGAGTTTCAAATCCTTTGGCCTTTCCGATGTTTTCTGAGAAGATCCATGCCACATTCAATTTTTCCAATTGCAATAAGTTGGATCAAGACGCAAAGAATTCTATCATATCCTATGCTCGGTTGCGAAGCTACTTAATGCTAGATGAACTTAATTGTTACAATGAGGTATGACTATTTCTCTTTATCAGTTTCCAGTCTTCTCGTCGTCTGTTGTTTGTAATCTTCTTATGTTACTTTCTTTTTACAGGGTTCCATTTTTACTGAAACTTGCTATCCTGGATGGGAAGTACCGGCATGGTTTAGTCACCAAGCCTCTGGACCGACATTAAAGCCAAAGCTGCCTCCACATTGGAACAACAACAGATTTACTGGAATAGCTTTGTGCGCTGTTATCTCATTTCCTGACTGCCATGAGCAGAAAAACACTCTCTTAGTGAAATGTAACTGTGTGTTAAATAATGAAGACGGGTCTCATATCTGTTTTAGTTGCACTATTGGCAGTTGGAGCAAATCAAGTAATACACCTGACGTGATTCAACCGACTCATGTCTTTATTGGCTATTCCAATACGTTTGATATGAAGAAAGGTAACGAGGAAGATGAAGAGGGATGTAGTTATATTGAGGGTTTGGTTGAATTTCAAGTAACAGATGGTACAGAAGTGTTAAAAGGTTATGAGGTGCAGAAGTGTGGCTTTAGTTTGTATGATAACATCGATGAACCGCAGGATAACTCTAGAGTATGCAGAGCCCTTGTTGAATCAAATCACAACATAGCCTATTCAAAAACAGGTGGGTAGATCTAAGATTTCTTTGCTTACATCATTTTAGCTTTTTGGGTCTGGTCGTCTTTGCTCACTAGTATTGCTTGAGGCTCTGAAATTTTTGATTTACCATACTTGCTTGTCTTTCTTCCTTAGTGGCGATCTCAAATGTAAGAAGAGAAAGCGAAACAGCAGAGAGATCACTAGCCGAGGGGCATGAAATCGTAAGTTTCACCACCTGTTGAATGAATCGAGAAAATTTCTTGTAACAAATATTTCATTTTTTTTTTAAATGTAAAACTTGAATTTATCTAAAATATATATTTTTTTAACAAATAATGCAACCAGAATTTGAAATTTTAGTGAGTCTTTCCTATCTTCCTTTCAGTCGTATAAGCAGCTTGATGTGTGCAACTGAGAGATGAAATATTTCTTATACGGTTATAAACTTATACATTTCCATTGCAGGATCATTGACTTATACGGTTATAAACTTATACCTTTGTTATTTCCTATGCAGGCTACCAGTTCCCAACCACCTATCACTAAGTCTCAAGTATCCCCGCCTAAATGTGAAACCGAATTGAACAATTTGGGAAGAGAGAGATACGTTCGAACATCTGATGTGGACACCCGGTTGTCTGCAGAACCCGAACAACACAACACAGATTTGGTAAAAAAAAATTTAATTATTATTAAAGGTCATTTGTTTAAATAGTACATTTGACAATTTTAATATAAAAGAGAATCCGTTATAGAAAAAATTACAAGAGACATCCAATAGTATCCAATAGTGTGATTTTAATCTGTCATTAATCTATGGTTAATTTGTTTTTACTCTATCATATGAATCTATATTTAGTCTACTTTTTTGAATTGTATAATAAATTACTTTACAATTAGTCTGCTATTAATATAAAATGGGAATATAACTAAAATGATAGTATTTATAAAATATACTCCAAAGAGATATTTTTTTACAATTTTCAATAGATGTAATAATATTTAACATTATTTTCTTGTAGCACCAACTGAAACATTCTGTCTTGTCTAGATCTCCATCGTTGCATCGTCTTCTCAAGCTGGACTCCTACGAAGCCACTCTCAGGTTTTTGTTAGTTTTCATGGAACTGAGCTGCGCAGGACTTTTGTCAGACATCTCGTGAGTTCTTTGACAGAGGCAGGGATCAACGTCTTCACAGACAGCGACAAGGGAAATGGGATAAAACTACAACAGCTCTACAAGAGGATAGAGGAGTCGAAAATCGCACTTGCCATCTTCTCCAAGAGGTATATCGAGTCAGATTTTTGCTTGAACGAGCTAGTGACAATGGACAAGCTTGCAAAGGAAGGCAAACTCGTAGTGATCCCCGTATTCTACAATGTGAGATCAAGCGATGTGAAAAACCTCAAGGGAGAATTTGGTAGATATTTCGAGGAGATGAGAGTCAGATACAAGGACGAACCCGAGAAAGTCTTCTTGTGGGAGACTTCCGTGAAGTCCATAGCAAAGACAATCGACAAACACTCGGAACTTAACGGGTATTGATTTCTTGATCATTCCTTATTGATGAATAATGGGGTCTCTTTCGAAAATGGAATGGGGAGTTACCTAGCCCAGCATTTAGGTGGAAGACTCATCACTACTTTCACTCTAGAAGAATGTTAAGCCAATTTCTAGTCTATATGTAGCAGCACTCATCACTAATTTGTTCTGCATCTGTTTCTCTCACTAATGTTGCAGCGAAGATGCCCCTCTTGTTGAAGCGACTGTTCAGGAAGTTCAAAGAGCGCTACGAAATACAGTTGAAGGAAATCCCAAGTCACTGGGAGGAGGAAATATGGCGATTGACCATGGTTTCGCCTTTATTATGGTCTTCCTCATGTGTCTCTTCACATATCCTTTGCCTTCCATTGATGAATTTTTTTTTTCCACTGGTAAGTGGTTATTGGATTTTCTGCTTTTGGCTGTTGGTGTTGTTTGTGGCCACCTGAAAATTTTCGGTTGGAGAGGCCAGAAGGAACAATCGTCAGACAACAACAACATATGCAAGTACTGGTTTGGCACATTTCTTTACAGTGCATGGCTCGTGTATTCTATGCTCTATTTCTCTAATATAATTAGAAGGATGACCATGTATTACTACTAGGTGACTAAAAAACTCCTGGACATGGAGGTCCTGGACATCTTTGCTTTTCAGTTGTAACAATGAACATATTTATTTTCAGTCTTATTTATTCTCAGTCTCTTCCTTGTGCTAGATTGCTAGTTGCTTATTTATCAATGTGGTGTTTTTATAAAGAATTTGCGCTCCAAAGTAAGGAATAAATCGATATTTAGCTAACAAACAAAGCACTACAAATCGTTTAATCCGATTATGCCTTTAGACCTATATCTACTACATAATTTCTATAGGACCTAAACACATAACTGGAGAGAAAAATATTAAAAGAGTGAACAATTTTATATCTTTATAATAAGGGATAATTTTTTGAATAGTCTACTTACAATTTTATTATAAAACATGATATTTCCTAAAATAATCTATAAGAGAAATTCACTAGTTTGCTTTCAATCTGCTGTTATTCTGCCAGTAATTTGTAATTAGTCTAGCATTATTCTGTCAGTAATTTGCAATTAGTCTAGCATAAATTGTCGATATAGACGAGTATGCATGGATAGTTGGGTAGATCACAATAATAAGTTAGTGTTTTGTTTCGATTTCGAAGAGTTGTGGTTCTGATTATGTGTTACAAGGTTGGTGATTTCGATCCACCTGTCAAAAAAATTCTGGGTTTTGACAGAGAAGATGATGAAATCATTCACAATAACAGATTGTAGGTATGGATAGGGAACATGGATAGTTGAAATAAAAACAAAATTCGGAAAGCATGTATCCTTCATGTTGATCCCCTATATGCTAACCTCGTGGATGACTTATTTATAGATGAACAAATGGAGTGAGCTTCTGAATAAACTGCATGGACATGATACATGAATGGACATGATACATGAATGTGTGTAAATTTGTAATGAAAGAAGAAAAAATGTGTGTGTGTAATTATGTCTTATAAAAATAGTAAAAAAGGGTCTTTCACAATTTTCTTTCAAAGGGATGCCTATTTTATATTATTTTATTATTTTGAGTCATTTTGGAGTATTTCTTCTCATAATAGCACTGACAGAAATAAAATTAGATAACAATAAAGTGGCTTCAATTTTTTTTTTTTTTAAAAACTAGTGGAACCACCCCTTCTAAGAACCTCTCGAAAAACAAAATCTTAACTATGATTTGATAAACATGTTAAGTGAAAAATTTTGATGTGTCAGAAGGAGAAGAAAAGTTAGTACATTCTAATGATGATCTGGAAATGTGATATGACAAATTTTCTCAAATAAAGAAAATGTTTTGATTAGCTGAAATAAAATTAAATCAATTATATAATTATAACATAAATATACTAGATTATACAGTAAAACCTCTATAAATTAATAATTTTAGGATTCTCAAATTTTATTACTTTAGAGAGTTATTAATTAACCGACAAATTAATAATAAAATAATATTTTATTAATTTATAGATATACTTTTAGGTTTGAATTCTTAATATCAATCAAAAGACAAAAATCAATATTTTCAATAATATAAAATTTATTCAGAAAATGTCATAAATGTTCGGGAGCAAATTTCAAGATGCTATGTGGGAGTGTGTGATTCGTCCGGAGAGTGGAGCCGTGCCTCCGAGTTTCGTCCTCTGGGGGAAAGGCGACGAGATGTTCCAGGGTGGAGGCTGGTTCGGGTCCCACCGATGGGATAGTAGACGAGTCCGGCCATGCAAATACTACACAAAAGGTCGATTGGGCCTCAGAGAAGACCGAAAGGGGATTTTCCTTCCAAAGGTTCTCCGACGCCCAAGTGAATGAACGCCCTACCGGGAACAAGTACTTAGGGTGGTGTTTCTACGGGTTCGGGTGAGAAGTCTCGTCTGGGGATCGAGACAACTATTTGTTTACGAGTATTTCGAGGGAGTTCTATACTGAAAGAGGAAGATTCAGCGAGTATAAAAGCAAGGTTCTGAGCAGAGAAGAACTTATCCTGGTAGGCATTCTCTCGAGGGAACCGGGTGGTTCTTTCTCGATTGTGCTGTTCGGCGGTGCAGGTCAGTTCAGGATGGTCGGACCTCTTCCATTGATCGAGTTCCCAGAGCCTGGTCCCTTAGATCGGGCTCACTCCCTTCTCCTCCCCTCCGATCCGGATCCTCTTCTTATGTGGGGATCTCTCTCCTTTTATACTAGTCTTCTCCCTGTCATGTCCTTTCCATTCGGTGCGCCAGAGGAGCAGGTGGGCTAATGATTCATGCGTGTTCGGGGAAGCATGCCAACTGCCCGGGAATAGGCCGAGCTAGCATGGTTTGTGTCAGTGTCTAGGGCAGTTTGCTGTCCATGTGTCGCATTTCCCTTGGGGGTCGTAAAATCAGTCTCAACTGTTGCCCCCTGACTTCTCGACTGATTGGAAAATGAGTCGGGGAGTCATCTTCTCTTGAGTTTCCTGCGCAATAAGCATAAGTTGTCTGATTCCCTAAGTGTTTCGCCATTAAAGGCCATATTGACGCAACGACCTTGCCGCATATCCCGGGAGATACGGTACTAGCCTGGGCGACGCTAAATTCTTAATGGTGGTATTAAAATAGGGACTCATCCAAGCCGTGCCATGTGTTCTGGTGGAATACTGTACATGCTAGGAGGCTCGGACTCCTAGAGAGGTGAGAAAGGGGCATCAACTCCGACCCTGTCACACATCGCAGAGGGGTGAGGTTCCAGTTGGAGGAGCGAATGAAAAAAGAGTTTCAACCCCGACCTTATTCGTATGTTCTGGGGGAGCACATTATTGGCGAGGGATTTACACTTCAAGAGAAATGAGCCGCATAGCAGCTTAATAGGTGTCAACTCCGGCTTCACTCGCATCTGCGGGAGGACGTTATTGGCCGACATAATTACACTCCCAAGGGAAGTAAACCGTGAGACGATCAGACTAAATATATAAAAGAGACTCGCTCTGTCTTTGTCACGCATCCGAAGGAGTACGCCGTTGGCCGGGGGAGTTAGGTGATGGGGTCCTACCCTGACTAGGGCACATATCCGGGGGAGTACGGTACTTGCTCAGGATAGGAAGATATTGATACTCCCGGAGGAACTGATAGCTTGACCACTGGTGGACATCTACCCGGAAGGATTTTTTTTTTGCTTCGTGAGGCACTAGACAAGAAGCCGTCTTCCTCCCTCTCATCGGGGTCATGAGAGAGGTTATAGTCCTATGTGACCATGGGGATCGACATAAGACAACGACGCGTGATAAGACACCAGCTCAAGGGCCAGAGATGGCACCATTGAACAGATGAATAGATTTTCCCTGCATCGTGGGGCACTAACGCAAGGGCGAGTTGCTACTCGAATGCAGCTGGTGCAGAGTAGGGTGTTTTCCGAGGGCATTACCTCAACTTCCTTACTTCCAGGACAGTCTTCACGTTGTGCTTACATGGAACTTTCTAGATTTTGAGAACGTACTTTTGATATACCCCGGAGGGAAGAGGTCGGGGAAATTATTAGGAAGAGAAAGCCTGCAAGTAAGCGACCTCAATTCTTGTTGTGTCTGAGTGGCAAGCGTGTCCTTGGGGGGGGGGGGGAGCATGCTATTTTTTTCGCACGGCCCGCTGGAGGGGACTGGCAGGAAAGACCCATAGGTATGCAAGGCCGAAGCCTCAGACTCCCGGAGGAGGGATACCCCGGAGGGCAAGCAAGTCTGCGGGAGAGCATGCTTATGATGCGCACTGTCCTCGGAGGGAGCAGGCGCAGGCAACATGGGCTTGCTGGACCGGAGTCTTGAATTCTCGGAGAAATGGTGCCCCGGAGAACAAGCAAGTCCGCGAAGGAGCATGCTAAGAAGAGGGGTTTTGAAGAAGGATACGCAAGTTAAGAGACATATAGCAAAGTCATACAATCGAGGAAGGGTGCAATCGTAACGATGGTGAGAAATCAAACTGCTACCTGAATAGGATAATCATATCTTTATGCGAGCAAGGAACGACACAATCATGCAAGCAAGAAATCACGCAAGTAATCACACAATCATGCAAGCAAGAAAACGAACAATCATGCAAGCAAGAAATAACACAATTATGCACGCAAGTAATCACACAATCATGCAAGCAAGTAATGCAACCTCATGGGCCGTTCGCGGGCCGAGATTGTTTTTGGGACAGCCACGTTTTGTCCACAGCCACGGGTTCCGTATAGCCCGCCATAAGGCCATAGATGCCCGGGCGGTTACGTTTGACCCACGCGAATGGCCTCGTGTAACCTGAAGTTATTTCCACCCGGGGGAGGATGGCGATTTTCTTGTAGGGGCGCGAGTTTCGTACCTTTGCGATTGTTCGTCAGTCGGTCTTCCTATGGCTTCGCCAGACCTAATAGTTGTCATCTGGGATTTTTCGGGCGGGCCTCTGGTGTTGGTTGAGTAAGATCCACGTGGTGAGCGCCTGACAGCTCAAAGTTCAGCGCGTCATATTACACAGCGTGCACCACTCTTCAAAAACTGCCGGTTGCTTTTTCTGCTACGACGGGCCGCCTTCTCTCTCCGTATTAAATACGCGTCATCTCGGTCGCGCGGCTTGAGAGACTAACAATCACGAGACTGCCATCGACATTTGGCTTTCCCCGACCGACGCGATTCTTCTTGCGTGTCGCTTTGGTTTCTTCCTCCTTTTATAAATTCTGCTGAATCCACGCCTTCACAGTCTCACTTCATTTCCAAAGCAATCCACAAAACCGCTTCTTCATTTTTCCTTTTCTGCCTTTTGTCTCTTTTCTCGTTCAGTTGAGATGTCAGCTTCAAGTTTATAGTCCGGTGAGTGGCGTACGCGCTTCTCATGGTCCGATGGCGAGGTTCACAGCATCACTTGAACACCTTTAGCTGTTGTTCTGCCACCCCGTCGGCCTTCGAGCAGGTTGAGCTGCGCCAGCTGCTCGCGGTAGACAAATGATTTAGGTCATTTGATTTTATTCTCTCATCGACGAGCATCATGGCGAGCTTATGCATCCTCCCGTCAGGTATAACGCCTGATGCTTTAGGTAACGACACTGACTCTTTCGCTATGTTGGCTTTGCGGGCGGCTGGTGCTGATTATACTTTGGCAGGTTCCCAGGATCGTATCGAGGAGGTGTTAGGTCGAGGTTTATCGGGAGCGTGCGAAGGACGCCTGTACAAATGCCCTGCCGGAGGCATCGCATTGATTTTCCTGCTGGAGAGGGTTCGTCCCGGCCCTCGCACCAGAGGCGTCTCAC